TCCACACAAAATCTAACCGTTACACACAATTTACCAATCTCGGTGGGACCGAATCAACAAACTCGGTCAGACCGATTCAGTAAACCTAGTGACCGTTAGTGATTTCGGTGGGACCGACATGCAACTCGGTAGGACCGATGTGGTTAGGGTTAGGGCATAACGTAATCTCGGTGAGACCGATTACACAAACTCGGTGAGACCAATTTTGGTAATAAGCTAACCAGAGAGTTGGTCAGGTAAACTCGGTGGGACCGATTCGCTCTTTTTGGTGAGACCAAAATGTTACGAAAGGGAAACAGAGAGTTTACATTGCAATCTCGATGGGACCAATCACTCACTTCGGTTAGACCGAAACGTTACGAAGGGAAACAGAGAGATTACAATCCCATCTCGGTGAGACCGAGATCCCTATCGGTGAGATCGATTTGCCTAGGGTTTGTGGCAGTGGCTATGACATCTAAACTCGTGGCGCCGAATGGAATGAATCGGTGGGGCCGAGTTTGACTTTAGGTTTAGGACATATGTGGATATGAGAAAGCAGTTGAGGGTTTTTGGAGCATATCACTAAGCACCGTGGAGCAAGAAACTCATTAAGCAACACCTCATCCCTCCTTGATAGTATTGGCTTTTCCTATAGACTCAATGTGATCTTGGATCACTAAAATATAAAATGTAGAGTCTTGAGCTTTTGAGCTTGAGCCAATCCTTTGTCCTTAGAATTTTGAGGGATCCACTTTCCTCATCCATGCCATGCCATTCATTGAGCTTTTCTGAAATATTTGTCTTGGAATAGTATTAGCTCAATGAGCTATATGTTGTTAGGAATTACCAAAACCACCTAGGGATAGTTGCACTTTCAGGGGCCGATGACTCTCTTTTGTGACAACACTGGAGCTATTGCCCTTGCCAAGGAGCCCAGGTTTCACAAGAATACCAGGCACATCAAGCATCGCTTCAACTCCATTCGTGAAAATGTTCAAGATGGAGACATAGATATTTGCAAAGTGCATACGGATCTGAATGTCGCAGATCCATTGACTAAACCTCTTTCGCGAGCAAAACATGATCAACACCAGAACTCTATGGGTGTTTGATTCATCACAATGTAACTAGATTATTGACTCTAGTGCAAGTGGGAGACTGTTGGAAATATGCCCAGAGGCAATAATAAAATGGTTATTATTATATTTCCTTGTTCATGATAATTGTCTATTGTTCATGCTATAATTGTATTATCCGGAAATCGTAATACATGTGTGAATGAGTAGACCACAACATGTCCCTAGTTAGCCTCTAGTTGACTAGCTCGTTGATCAATGGATGGTCACGATTTCGTGACCATGGACATTGGATGTCATTGATAACGGGGTCACATCATTGGGAGAATGATGTGATGGACAAGACCCAATCCTAAGCATAGCACAAGATCGTGTAGTTCGTTTGCTAGAGCTTTTCTAATGTGAAGTATCATTTCCTTAGACCATGAGATCGTGTAACTCCCGGATACCGTAGGAGTGCTTTGGGTGTACGAAACGTCACAACGTAACTGGATGACTATAAAGGTATACTACAGGTATCTCCGAAAGTATTTGTTGGGTTGACACAGATCGAGACTGGGATTTGTCACTCCGTATGACGGAGAGGTATCTCTGGGCCCACTCGGTAATGCATCATCATAATGAGCTCAATGTGACCAAGTGGTTGGTCACGAGATCATGCATTACGGTACGAGTAAAGTGACTTGCCGGTAACGTGATTGAACGAGGTATTGGGATACCCACGATCGAATCTCGGGCAAGTAACGTACTGATTGACAAAGGGAATTGTATACAGGATTGCTTGAATCCTTGACATCGTGGTTCATTCGATGAGATCATCGTGGAACATGTGGGAGCCAACATGGGTATCCAGATCCCGCTGTTGGTTATTGGCCGGAGAGCTGTCTCGGTCATGTCTGCATGATTCCCGAACCCGTGGGGTCTACACACTTAAGGTTCGGTGACGCTAGGGTTATTAGGAAGACTTGTAAGTGATGACCGAATGTTGTTCGGAGTCCCAGATGAGATCCCGGACGTCACGAGGAGTTCCGAAATGGTCCGGAGGTGAAGATTTATATATGGGAAGTTGTCATACGGTCACCGGAAAAGTTCAGGGGCTTATCGGTATTGTACCGGGGCCACCGGAGGGGTTCCGGGGGTCCACCGGGAGGGGCCACCTCTCTCGGAGGGCTTCATGGGCCATAGTGGGCAGGGAACCAGCCCCTGGAGGGCTGGGCGCACCCCCCCTTGGGCCCATGCGCCTAGGGTTGGGGGGGGGGAACCCTAGAGGGGGCGCCCCCCTTGCTTGGGGGGCAAGCCCCCTCCCCTTGGCCGCCGCCCCCCCCCTCTAGATCTCATCTAGAGGGGGCCGGCCCCCTTTCCCCTTCCCCTATAAATAGAGGGGCGAGGGGAGGGCTGCATACAACATCCAAGGCGCAGCCCCTCCCCTCCCCAACACCTCTCCTCCTCAGTTAAGAGCTTGGCAAAGCCCTGCCGGAGTACTGCCTCTCCACCATCACCACGCCGTCGTGCTGCTGCTGGAGCTCTCTTCCTCAACCTCTCCCTCCTCCTTGCTGGATCAAGGTGCGGGAGACGTCTCCGCTCCATACGTGTGTTGAACGCGGAGGTGCCGTCCGTTCGGCGCTAGGATCTTCGGTGATTTGGATCACGACGAGTACGACTCCATCAACCTTGTTCACTTGAACGCTTCCGCTCGCGATCTACAAGGGTATGTAGATGCACTCCTATCACTCTCGTTGCTAGATGACTTCATAGATTAATCTTGGTGATGCGTAGAAATTTTTTATTTTCTGCAACGATCCCCAACAACCGATGCCCTCCCCGACGCCCCATGGGTGGCGGCAAGGAAGGGGATATGGTTTTCCAGGATATGTATTCCTTCAATCTTTAAAAATTAGAGGCAACTCGTGCAATATTACATGTTGTCTCTAAGAAGGTGCTTGATTCGTGTTTTTCCAGTCGCTATCAGATTACAACATAATCTCATACCGTTAACCCCATTTGGTTCCCTTCACAAGTAAACAAGCCTGGTGTAAACAAACTACCCCCTAGTTTGAACTTGATTCCGCCCGTTCCCCAGTGTAAACAAATCCCGTTACAATGACCGATCCAGTTGGAGCGAACACTTCCAACCTGTTCCCATGCCGCCGCAGCCCACCCCTCCTTCGATGGGTTGTTACGCTGCATATCACTTTCTCGCATCACGCCTCCTCCGCCTAGTTGCGGCGCCAGCGCCGGTGACCAAGTCCCCGATCTTCCCGGCGATATGTTGTACTTCACGAGCAGTGGCGACATGCCAAGAGAAGCGGCGGCCATCCAACGCGTTCCTTGGTCGAGTTATTTCTCGTTCTTGGGTCCATATATATGCCATGTTTTTCCTCTGATCAATGGAGTTCTTCGCTTCCCAAACCCTCCACCATTGAGATAAGGTCAGTCTTTCTTTTCTTGTTCACAATTTGATAAGATAATTGTTCATCATGAGCAGGCGGCTCTATAGCTCTTCATCACTGATTTCTTCCTACTCACCAAGTCACCATCCATCAATAACTCTTCCCGATCTGTGATTGAGCTTCTGTTTTATTTTTATTACGGTGTGCAACCAAACAGTGCGAAGTGATTAGATACCGTATTACAGGCTCGAACCAAACTAAAACAGTAGATTGGCCCATTACACCGGCATACCACCGTAATTACATACCAATACCTTTACGTTACAACTCTCTGATCCAAATAGCTTAGAGGCAGCAGACAATATAAATTGTGGGTGAAAGCACCCTTGTGAGCTCGAATGAACAGTTAAATAGACAATTCCAAAAAAAATCTGATTTTTTGTTAAACTTTGACAAATGTATACGTGTTTGCAGATTTTCATTATGAGATCACACTCGTAGATGGCGTGGCAACAAAAAAAATCAGTGCTCCAAAATACTTTCGAAAGTAGCATTTTCGGAGCATCATTTCTGTTTTATCTCTGTTCAGGTTCAGCTCAAGCAGACGGTTCTATAGCTCGTCATCTCTGATTTCTTCCTACTCACCAAGTCACCATTCATCAATAACTCCGTTTCTGTTGTAGTAGTATTTGTATTATTATGGTGTGAAAAACCGGCAATACCACCGTAATCACATACCAATACCTTTACATTACCACTCTCTGATCCAAACACTTCCCAAGAGGAAATATATAGTATAGCAGTGTGGTTCCTTTTATTCCAACACGCTATCGTCGCCGTCGGTCACCGATGCCACTGGATAGAAAAACTAAAAAAATCAGAACCTACACAAGAAAAAATAATGAAGAGAGGGAAGAAGCCTAGGCCGGCACGGCTGTTGGTTCCATTCTCTTTCGTATCCAGATACCTGATCGGGATCACGCGTAGTTGCTGAGGACGTGACCGGCGCGACGCCGGAGGTCTTGACATCATCCAAGCCGGCTGATAGGATGGTCTCCCCGAACTCCGGTGCCGTGCACAAGCTTCTCTATATTTAAAAATAAGAAGTGCGACTCGGATAAAAGGGGACGGAGTCGGATGCGTACAGGCGCAGCGCACTACTTCCCCCAGAGAAACACCGGCGAGCAATAATAAATGGCGTCATAGCCACGGGCCTTCCTCCCCGAAGCGGATCACACCAACCCAACCCCCGCCGCCTCGCCGCCTTCCTCCTCCTCGCCGACCGCCCGCCCGCCCGCGACGGCACGCGTCAACCCGCTCCCCGCCGCCGGTGCTCGACTGCCGCGGGTGAGGCGGAGATCCATCCCTCTGAGCTCCTACTGACTCGACGCCGGTAACGAATCCCAGCTCCGCGCACCCGATTGATTCCCAACCCGTGTCTCCCTCCAGTTCCGAGGATTTGTTTCGGGGGTTCAGGTTCAGGTTCAGCTGAGTTGCTGGACCCCCCATGCCACACGTGAACGCCAAGGTGTCGGCGGTGGCGGCGACGGGGATGTCCGCCGTGCCTGCGGCCGCGGCGCCGCCGTCGCCGAGGAGGTGGGAGGGGGTGGACCCGGCGCTGGAGAGGATGGTGCTGCGCGCGTGCCTGGACCAGGCCCCCGAGCGCCGCCGCGTGCGCGAGGCCTTCAAGGACGTGCAGCTCAGCATTGACCACTGCCTCTTCAAGGTCCGTATTTATTAGCAATCCTTCAGTTTAAATTGATGTGCTCTGATTTCCTGTGCTGGAGTTTAAATTGAGACCTACGATATGTTTTGGGAGGGCCCGTTTGAGGAATTGGGATCGTCTAGAGCTTGTAGCTCCATCAAAATGGCCCACACTGCTTGGTCAATGTTTCCACTACAAGCTTTCTGATTCGTCCATACCATATTCCTGCAGCCATTTTGGGAACTAATTATCGCTGTCACAATCCTAGCTCTAGTAAAATAGGATTGTCCAGACATACTACCGAGTTCTGCGTCCTTAAGTCGTCAGGCTGGTTTAGGATCATCATATGGGTTATGAATACTCTGTCTTAATCAAAAGGAATGTATGAGAAAGCAGACTATTGTGCAGGTGGAGCACTATTTATAGGAAGAACTTGCCCATTTTGTGTGGTAGCTTGTTTACTAATTTGAACTAAAACCACGACACAAACTAAGGAATGGAGGAAGTAGCTTTTATGTCTTTCCCAATGAACTTGTTCACTAGTACTAGCTTTTATGTCTTGTCCAATGAACACGCCTTACAACTCTTTTCCTAGTTATTAAATCCAGTAATCTACAAACATAGTAAAATTAAAAAAAATGTAATTGAATATTCCCAAACAAGTGTACCCCTTGAATTCTCACATTCACCTTTTTGCCTGTTCTTTGGATCCTATGTTCTGAGTTCTGATACTTATATTAAAGCCAACTATGCCTTTGGTGTTATGTCATGACATGAATGACATGTCTTACTTTCATTTTCTCTATGCTGCAGGCACAATACAGTGACATTGGAACAAAAGAGGTACTATTTTGTAGTGTAGCCACAATGTACATTTTTGTCATAATAATTAGACCCCTCACTTGACTGGTGCAATATATTAATTTGAGGTATATAGAGTTGGTCCATCTTTGCATTAGTATGTGTTCTGCTTTGAACTGAATAGAGAGATTTGAGATATTACATTCTACATAAGACAACACTACAGCAGGCACAGTGATCTATTTTGTTAAGTATAATTGTGAAAATAAGCAGAATTTTCAATATCATGTTGTATAATTCCGTGTTTAAAATTATTAGCCAATGCAGTGTCAAAGCAAATTTAATGCCCACTACTTCCTCCATTGAGTTGATAGAGAAGTTCTGCTGTGAGGAATGAAATTGCTGCAGCTATTGCTTAACAAATTACTGCAGCTATGCTTAAAAGCTAAAATAAAGTTGGATAGATATTCAAAGGTTGTATGCCAACAATGTTAGTTTGCTCATTGGTATTTCTAAGCCGTGGCGTGCCATTTGATACTTTGCTCATTGTTACTCCTAACTCCTTCCTCCGCTTGATACTTTACAATGTGACATTTTTTCCCTCTTCAACAGTCATATGAGCGGAACTCCAGAGGTGTGGAGATATTCTCAAAATGTTGGTTTCCGGAGAACCATCGTATGAAAGCAATTGTTTGTCTCTGCCATGGTTATGGAGACACCTGTACCTTTTTCCTTGATGGTATTTAGTAAACTAGTAATATTGAATTTACTTTGGCGCTTCATTTTTGCTACATTTCTTAAGTTCATTGTTGTTGTAGGGATTGCTAGGAAGATTGCTTCGGCTGGATATGGAGTATTTGCATTGGACTACCCTGGTTTTGGTCTTTCCGAAGGACTTCATGGATATATTCCAAGTTTTGATACTCTTGTTGACGATGTAGCTGAACATTTTGCTAAGATCAAAGGTATTCCGTCATTATATTATTGCTGGGTTTTCGTGCTGTTCATTTCTATATACGAGTTTTTGGGTAACAGTTGGAAAGTGCAATTTGTTTCTCTGCCACAGTGATATGCCTTATTCTGGTTAAAATTATTATGTACATGGAATTTGTTTCCACTAAGATGAGTAACTTGTTTTCTGCACAAGTAAAGGACATGTTTGCTAACCACCATACACACTGCCATAATGTTGTTGCAGCTTTTGGTCAAGCTGCTGCTAGTTGTATTTACCTTCTTCTTTCTATCTTCCATATGAGGAGTTTTAGAAATTAACAGAAGTTGTGAACTTGTGATACTTTTTACTCCTGGTATAGGACATTGCTTTGGTTTTGCAAAATGAGGCTAAAGAAATGCTTTTACTCTATTCAGTCTGACATCTGTAATGTTTAAGCTCTATGAACAAGAAGGAAACAATTAACTTTTTATTTGTTTGCACATACTTCACTTTGGATTCTTTTTCCTCCTGTAGCTCTTACACCACTATCACTAAGTATTCGATAGAGTGACATTTCTAACGAAACTAAGTAGCCAAACCAACATGTATTTGTACTAGAGGTGTGGATGAGCACTAGCAGTCTAGCATTAATACTGTGATACTGTTGACTTGCAATACCTGAAATTGATTGCGAATATTTCCATGTAAGAGTTAATGAAATACCTGCATTAATGCATGCAATCAATCACTTTTGATAACGGTAGTAGTCGAAAATTGCATTGGGTAAGCTTGGTAATAAATTGTTACATTACTGAACTGCTGAGAGGCTGACAAAATCTGTCACAATGATTGAATTGGCCTCTGATGTTTTATCTTCGATATAACAGAAATTATCTTGTCTTTCATTGCAATAAATTAACTTTTATCATTCTGAACTGAGTTCATATCTGTCCATACTTGTTCATAATGTTTGCTGTAAGCCAGTCCATGTAGTGTGAATATACTTCTTTCACTATTCAAGTGTGATTCATATGTTGGCAGGGAATCCTGAATACAGAGATCTCCCAAGCTTTCTGTTTGGCCAATCTATGGGTGGTGCAGTTGCATTGAAGATTCACTTTAAGCAACCAAAAGACTGGAATGGTGCAATTCTAGTTGCACCTATGTGCAAGGTGATTTTACTGCGTGAAATCCTACCTATGCTAATTATGATTGGTCACTAATTCACAAACTCGCTTTAATAGATTTCAGATGATGTGGTACCAGCTTGGCCTGTTCAGCAAGTTCTGATTTTCATGGCTAAACTCCTTCCAAAAGAGAAGCTTGTTCCACAGAAAGACTTGGCAGAATTAGCATTCAGAGAGAAAGAAAAACAAGAGCAGGTCAATATTGCCCATTTTTGGTTAATACAGAGATTAATCTATTCATTGGGAACTTCTTATTCAGTTATAGCTACTCGCACGTTATGCCTGGTGGAAAGACGGTTTATATTAATTCGGTGCTTAATGCAGTGTTCCTACAATGTGATTGCCTACAAGGATAAACCACGTCTCCGAACAGCTCTGGAGATGCTGAGGACCACACAAGAGATAGAAAGTCGCCTAGAAGAAGTATGTGGTTTTCATTTGCTTTGTTCTGGTTGGTTTTGTTTATATAAGCGTCATCTAAGTCTTGTACAGTTGCTTAGGTCGTTACTCATTCTGACATCAATAGCACTCCCAAATTCTTTTGTTCAAACTCTTAAAATGCGTGAATTTGCATTGATTCTTTGGGTATGCCATGTTGCCTCCTGGCTTAGTGAAGAATATAGGCAAGCCATAAGAATAAGTTTATAAACTGTGGACTAGGTTGAAATTTTTTGATCTGAGGGGTGACGATATTTTCTCTAGGGGGTTAAGGAACCTAGTTCCGGTAATCCGGTTTGTTCACTACCAAGGGAGGCAGGCATTCCATGATCCTACTGTTTGATCCAAATATTTGTCCTTGATAGAGTACAACTTAATGAGCTGTCCTGTTTCCGGTAAAAAAAAAACTATCCCGTTTTTGAGAATGCCATTTGTGCCATTTTTGTCTCTACATGTAAATTATATTACACTGTAGCACTGCCAGTGGCCTTTATTCCTGTTCTATTACTGTACTGTTCCTTTTTTTTGTGAAAATTACTGTACTGTTAATGTTCTGTGATGCTTAAAGTTCCCTCAATTTCCCATCTAGGTTTCCCTGCCCATAATCATTCTGCATGGCGAGGCTGATTTGGTCACCGACCCAGGCGTGAGCAAAGATCTGTATGAAAAAGCGAAGACATCGGACAAGACGCTGCGACTTTACAAAGACGCCTACCACGCCATCTTGGAAGGCGAACCAGACGAGGGGATCTTCAAAGTTCTCGACGATATAATCTCTTGGCTGGATCAGCATTCCGCAAATGAAATACCCTCGTCGTGAGCTGCACAGATTCTTTTTGTTATTTGTCGAGCCTCACATGTCACTGATGGGAATTCCATTTTGGGTTTTACACGTGATACACATACTTATTTCCTGCTGATTGTGAATATGTATCTAGCATTCATCATCTGTGGTGTGTGATGCGCAAAAGGCCGTGCTTGGTTCGTCGGTTTTTGGCCCAAAACCGGGCTGTGATGGGGCAGTAAAACAAATTGGCTTTTGGTGGTTTCCTCTTCTTTTCCACCGGTTTTATAGGGTGGCTTTTTTTTTCCTCAAAAAAAAATATAGGGTGGCTTTTTTTTTCCTCAAAAAAAATACAGGGTGGCTTTTTTTTATGAGGGGTCACATGGCCTACTAGCTTGTTTGGCGCGTCCATCATTTGGGTCAGAATTTCGAACCAACCAACTTTAATCACACATCAATTTGGGTTTTTTGAAATTTGTTGGTCCCAGCTATTATAAGCCTGATTAAAATTTAATCACATGGCAATTTGGGTTTTTTGAAATAGCCAACCAACTTTGTTGTAGTGTTTTAAAACTTCTAAAAAGTTGCAGTTATTTTTTCTTGACAATCAATACCATTGATATATTTATAGTAGCGAATTGTACACGGTAGAGATATATGATCTGACAACGGTGAATACAAAATAAAATCTAAAAGGAACATATATGATCTGACAATGGTGAATACAAAATAAAATCTAAAAGGAACGAGCAAATCTTTGAGATCTTCTAACTCTGTTTTCTTTCATGACACAATCTTGTACGTCTTTGGCGGCAACTACAGAAAAATAACAAAAGTATCAAATCATAGACCTATAAATATCAACGAGGATTTTCCTATAGTTTTAATTTGAGCCACAATGCCAAGACTGCGATGCACGTATACAGCTATTAAAGTAATCAACCAACATCGGTAGGAGTACCAATACCGGTATTTCAGGGACAAAAAACCAAACAACCATGTCAACATCGCTGGGAGCCGAGATTACGGATCACCATTGTCGTAGCAACTGGGACAGATATTGCAAGGACAATCCTCCTCACGGCGACCATGAGAAAAAAATTCAAACCGATCCGACGAAGCGAGATCTGAAGGACTATATCTAGATAAATATAATCTTCCAACATCACCATTGACGTTGGAAAGAAGATCTCGTCGTTGAACGAAGGGATGAAGATTATTTATTATAGACGATGTCATCTTCAAAGAAGAAGACGACTACCAAAACCCTAAACTCCAATGGAAACACTACTATTATATTATTAGAAACTTCACTCATAGATCGGGTTCCCCACCCCCTCCCGGCGCCGGCGAGGCCGGCCGAAGGAGGAACCGATCTATGGTGGAGGCGGAGATGGTTGACGGCGGCTAGGTCTTTTCCCAGGAGACCTCCCTTCAGATTCTTTATTAGAACCCTACAATGAAGGTAATGATGAAGATCTATCTTTTGATTATGGAGAAAGTAAGGAAGGGACGAAACTTAGCCACTTAAAAAAAGGGTACAATTTTTCTTCCAGGTGATCCTTTTGATCTACGCTTATGTTTTCTTCATCGGCGACGGTTGCTATTCTGGTGCGCTGGTCCTATAGGGCCTTAGCACGATGACTTGTCGACTCTCTACTACAACAATGCTTGTAGTTGTAGCTTAAGAACCTAGATGTAGATTTTACTTCTAGTGTTCTTTATACTACGATGAATAGCGGAAGTTTTCTCGGCAGAAAAAAAAATTCTCCCTGGCAACTGATTGACAGGAGCTATGCTTTTTTTTTTGCATAGTAATACATGTCTCATTCATATCATAAAGATTAAAGTACAAGTCACGTAAGAACCGACATGACAAAACTGAAAAGATAGCAGAACATCTCCGAATTTGACACCAACGCCCATCACCTGCATCCGGCACCATGACAGCAACCACCGAAGAAAAGAAAGATGGATAACCTCCTCACCCGAGCTCGACGTGGCTCCATTGCTGATATGCAGCTTTGCAGACCTCCAAGGTGGCTCAACAAAAGTGAAGCCTTACCGTTGAACGAATCAGACCGGGGCAACACCCCGGACACGCCATCAAACTCCAGATATGGCACCCCACCGCGGCTAAGACGTCGCAGAAGGAAACCATACCTGCCATCCACGAACCACGAACCCAACACATGTTCCGTCTTCCAGATGTCGTCGATGCAGACCACAATCTGCATCCGCTTCTGGACTAACTCCCAAGCTCCGCGTCGACGCTGAAGCAACGCCGTCGCAACGGCGAAGCCCGAGGACACATGTCCACCACGAGGATGCCGCCGCCGCCACGCCATCCTTGTTTGAACAGACTGGTTTCCAAGTTCATCCCCAACCATAGGATCGATGGCCTTGTCAGGAAAGGATCCGAAGAATCTTTATTCAGCGTTGTCATTGTCGCCGTCAAAACAACGACGATGAACAGCTTAAAAATCTAGACTACGAGAAAGTAAAAACAATCCACACGCGTGCATCCGGTGACCCCCCCTCACCACCGACAACCGAGGTCGCCGGCGGAGGAGAGCCGCCGAAGGACGGCGCTGGAAGATTGGGCTCTCCTGGCGGCGACTAGGGTTCCAGCCGCTAGGGACGGGAGGAAAACGATGGCTGGGTGGGTTGCCTGCCCTGACAGGAGCTATGTTTCTTCGTCGTATTTTCTACACGAGGATAGGCCAACGACAGGGGCGGCCGAGGGCAAGATTTCCGGAGGCCACCTGGTGGCGTCGATGCAGCACAAATCCGTCACCGGAGCTTCTGAATCTGACGCCTGCATCCGTGCGTCGCTGTCGTGTTCGTGCGCTAGGTAGCCTTCTACCTGCTCGGTG